AAAAAAACAACCATTTTAATGTTTGAAGACCAGCCAACATTAGGGACCACTTGTCCCCTAGTAAAGCCGAATGCACACTCAAGAATAGGCCAAAGAGCATGTGTGTTGTTTGATAAGCTTGCCCAGAATATATTCTATACATTAAAAGCCAAACAACACAAAATATTCACATCCCTGATTTTTCCTCTTTGATGGCTGAATGTAACCCCTCACCTACAATATATTTTATCACACAATCAACCAAATGATCCTTCCATCAAACCACCCCTTTGTCTCCCTAATATGGCCGAAACAATCACATTAAAACCTCATCAAAATGATCTTCAAATCACAATATTCCCACACACCCCTTTGTCTCTCAATATGGCCGAAAACATCAAAGCCAAATTCCCCCTCATCCTTGATTTTCATTCCATAAAATAATGTGATCAATTGGGTATTAATCTGCATATTTGTTTAAGGAAGTTGCCTGGAATTTTCCCTTTTCTTGCTTGTATTTATTTCGGCCAAGGGCCTCATTGTAAGGCATCTTTGTAATCTTATTTTCAAGATAATACAACTTGTTGTGTTGTTATATCTCTTAGACCTCCTTGGCTTATCCTCGTTACCAAAACACCTCCTTTTTGTTTCCTTAAACTGCCCAATAATCGATTACCAGCTTGGAAAATCGATTATCAATTCACGAGAAACATCTGCAGTCATCAATAATCGATTTACATATTTGTGTAAATCGACTATCACCCCCTTTAGAAACTCTCCGCCAAATCCTTTGAGAAACTGAACCCTTCGATAATCGATTATCCCTTTAGGTAATCGATTATCAATCCTTCTCCATATAAAATCACTGTTTTTCCTCAAACAACCTACACCAAGATACAACAACTACTCATCCATTTCTAGATTTGTACTTAATCCGTTGTACTTGAATATCATAGCCTTTTGGCATACAATATTTTCTCAATAAATAGTTAATTAAATCTTTCGAGATTAATAAACTAAATAAGGCAAGAACAATTGACTAACCATTCCAATATTAATTTAACATTCAAAATATACAACCAAACTAGTCTACCCAGAGATCCGGACCCTAACTCATACTATGCAAACATAAATTAAAACAGCATTTTATTAAACAAAGAAAACTTACAACTTCCGTAAAAGCGGAATAGAACATATCTGGAGTCAAGGGTATTTGGTGCATTTTTTAGTGTATGGGGTAAATCGTGCAATTTTCGAAGAGTTCGAGGGTAATCGGCGCACTTTTTAAAGTTCAAGGGTAAAGTATGCAATTTCTAAAGAGTACGGGGGTAAACAATGCACTTTACTCTTTTATTAAACAAAGAAAACTTACAACTTCCGTAAAAGCGGAATAGAACAGATCTGGAGTCAAAACCTCCGAAAATACTTCAAACTAACTACTACAACTAATATACAAGCTAAAATGGAGAGGGGATGTGTAAATCCCGAAGTTGGGATGGAATGGGATGATAAAAATGAGAAGAATCGTGTTGTATTTATAGGAACAAAGCCAAGGCGTCCAAGTCAAAGCATCCAAGTCCAAGCGTCCAGATCTGGATGCCTGAGCTGTCCCGGCCAACCAGATTTTGCCACGTGTCATTCTTGGGCTGCAATTAAGCCAAAGCGTCCAACCCCCAAGCGTCCAACTTGGCCAAGCGTCCAAATTGGACGCCTTGAGCCCTTCCTTTGTTGGGCTTCGCGGCTGGTTTGTGATTTCGGCCCAATTTCGCTCCGTTTTGGCCCCGAACACTGTTTTTGACCTCCCGGAAGCTCGTTCAAGCCCGAATCTTGATCCCTTGATGATTTATTCCCTTTTTCTCAAGTATTTGAACATAAAATGGATGATTTATGATAATTTCATGTGGAATCCCTTTTTATGACTCTTAGAACGAAAATGAGAGTTTTATTCATTTAAATCACATTTTATAAGATGATTAAATACTATTTACGTGCAATAACGTTTAGAATATGATGTAAATGATAAGAACGAAACGGACTTATCAATAGGAAGGTTCACACCTTCAAAGCTCGATTGGTAGCAAAAGGTTATAGGCAAATCCACGGAATTGATTGTGATGAAACTTTTTCTCCACTTGATATGCTAAAATCCATTCGGATAAGGCTTGCAATTGCAGCCTATTACGATTACGGAATTTGGCAAATGGACGTCAAGACGACTTTCCTTAACGGGAACCTCAAAGAGGATGTCTTCATGACATAGCCTGACGGTTTTCAAATTGCCGGTCAGTGTGCCAAAGTTTGTAAGCTGCAACGTTCAATCTACGTATTGAAACAAGCATCTCGGAGTTGGTATATACACTTCGACGAAACCATTTCCAATTTTGGTTTTAAGAAGAACTCTAATGAATCTTGTGTTTACAAGAAGGTCAGTGGGAGTGTAATATGTTGATGACATATTGTTACTGGGTAATGATATTCCTGCTCTCACTTCTATAAAGACGTGGTTGAGCAAGAACTTCTCCATGAAAGACTTAGGGGATGCTAATTATGTATTTGGCATAAGAATCTGTTGTATCCACGAGAGCTACAACCCCGAGAGCTACAGTTGATTCGCAAACACTCAAACAAATAAATGGAATAATGTCCAAATGTCATAATCCTTTTTGGAATGAATTCATCACCCATAAACCCTACTACCCAACTTTGATACACCTCCCTCCTTTTCTTTAAACTTTGCCGAACCACAAGGGCCCAAAAACCAGCCATTCTCAATGTCTAAAAACCAACCAACATTAGGGACCACTTGTCCCCTAGTAAGGCCGAATTTGCATAAGGAATAGGCTAAGGAACATGTGTTGTTTTTTGATAGCTTACCCACCATATATTCCCTACATTAAAAGCCAAACACACATAAAAGGTAATGAAAGGGTTGGTTTTATAGGGAGTAAAAAAATAATTCAAATTACTACCACGGGGTAAAAAAAATAATTCAAATTACTACTACTGAGGATTTGCTTCTGTAAGATCCATTGTAAAAAATTAAAGACTCAAATTAAGGCCCCACGGTGAATGCCGAGATTTGACTACCACTACTTATAAATGGGCTCTCGATAGTGCTGCTATAATGTACTCCCTCCGTCCCGGAGTATTCGTCCAGTTTTGATTTTTAGAACTGTTCACCTAAGCACTTTGACTCATCAAATTCTCTTAATGTGTAAGCCTAAATATAGTCATGTGTGATCTTGTTTAATTTGTCTTAACATATAGATTATTAATATATAGTTTCTATAATTTTGTTAAGAGTAAATTCCATAATTGGTCCATTATAACAGGGGAGTTTCCATATTTAGTCCTCTATTATCAAATATTACCCCTGTAGTCCTTTTTTTAAGGGTGCCTTTCCACAAATGGTCTTTTTTTTATCTTCTGCCAAGTTGGTGTAAATTTAAAGGCTAAAAGCATAATTTGATATCAACGTTATGTCTAATGACGTGTTCTGATATTGGTTAAGCGAATAACACAAAAATAATGACTATGATTGTGGACTAGAATTCAGACGAAAGACCACATTTGTAGACTATGTTTGTAGTAGAAAGTGACTGTAATTCACAAACAATGCAAACAGAACAACCTTTGAAATTGTGTATGACAAAAAAGATATATTATCATTGTGAAATTACACTTTTATCCCTCAAATTAACACAAACATGATTGAAGATTAAAAAAAGGACTATTTGTTGAAAGATACCCATAAAAGAAGGATTACTGGGATAATATTTGATAGTAGAGGACTAAATAGGGAAACCCCTCTGTTATAAAAGACCAATTATAGAATTTACTCATTTTTTAATATACAAATTACAAGATAAAATGGATTAAAGAAGTGTATTGGATGGCGTGTAAAAATGAAAGTGGGCAATACTCTGGGACGGAGGTAGTAATTGGCAAGATAAGATCTTCAATTTCAGCTGAAGAACTGCTACAACCCATGAGAAATCTTCTATAGGGGCTTAAGTTGAAGCGAAGTAAAAAAAACAACACAATTTTTAAAGACTCAAAAAAGTATTGAACTGCATGGATGTTCTTTATTTATTTGATTGTTCAATTGAGCTCTCTTAGCCTTAATCCACCTTGATTGTAACTTTACTCCTGTGAACCAAAGCAAATAGAAGATCCATGTAAAGATTTCAAATCGCAAGTAAGCACATGAGTGATCCCTGCAAATAATAGCTCAAAGCAAAAGCAGTTTGCCCACCCCCTGAACCCCAACCTATACACATTTCAAATGACAAAGAAATAATAAGATGAAATCTTTAAAAATCTCAAAGGCATGAATATATTAAATATGGAATATATCATATATAATCTTACCGTACATGATGCATACATAATTGAATGATGCGAAGTAACTTTTTGTTTATAAAAATAGAGAAGATTGAGGTTCATCGCCAAACATTTCTAATGATCTATCATTTGGCAAGTCTTAGTTATATTACTTACTCTAAGAACATATGTTAAATTTATTGTCCTTTGACGAATGTGAGGAACATCACCCTTTTGTTAAGGGTTGATTTCAATTGTGTATATAACCAGTTGTATGCAATATATTATAGTTGTATACTATAGTCTTGATATTTTATAGGTCATATGAGCTTTGTAAAAATCTCAATGTAATAATATATCAATGACTTGTATCTCCTACGTCCCATAAAACTTTTCAAATATGAAAAAAAAACATTTTTTAAAAATGTGCAATTTAGATATTATTTTGAAATTTTGACCTTGTTTTATAATGAAATGGGATATGATGTGCATAATAGATGAGTCAAAATTAAAAAATATCAAAATCATAAAATTTTGTTCGACCCCGTGCATGGCACGAGTTAAAATACTATACTATATTATATTAAATTTGAGAGTAAATCTTCTAGAATTACGACAAGTGGCAAGTCTACATGACAACATTTTAACAAATCATCCGCCACCTATTAACGTTTGAATGACATGATAATTTTAATCAAATATGGGCAGATCTAATTTAAGTTGTATACGGAGTATGTGTCTTATGTGCAATGTCGCTATAATTTTTTGGAAACAAATATTCTGTACCAGAATAGGAATAAACATGGAAAAAATACCAAAATAAAAATGTATATTTTTTATCTCCAAATAGGAGCTACCAAATATTAAGAGATTCCTTAGTTTCAAAAAGAAGTTATTGGTAATGCATTTCTATCGAAAGACAATGTTTGTTCTATATATCGAGGTTAAACTATATACAAACTTACAAGAAAAGTCCATTGAAAAGATCAACTATATACAGTCTTACAAAAAAAGTCAATTGAAAAGATCAAATCCATACACAGAGGGAGTATTATTGAAGAAATTAGAACCTACATGAAATTTTATGCAATTGAGTGAGATCTAAAATTTATTTTTTTTGATTAAAAATTTTATAAAATCAACTTCTAAAATAATGAAAATAATAGAATAAATTTTTAAAATCAAATTCTAAAATAATAGTTACATTTTTTCACATAAAATTTTAAAAACATATCACGTAAAAATAATCACATGTATTTTACATCCAAAACTTTTTTCACTTCATATGAATGTATTTTTAAACAGCAAAACAAATATGGTTGCAAAGGTTTTCACAAAGAAAATTACAAAAACATTTTAAAATAATAATAGGTATTTCACTTTTGACTTCATTGAAGTCACAACTACTACTTTTTAAAAACACACAAAAACATATTCGCATGAGATATAAACAACAAAATAATATTTGCAAAAAAATAAATCACGTATTTTTCATACGAGAATTTTTTAAAATTCTACATAGATATGAAGCGGGAATCGGAGGCGAGGCCATCCTCACTCGAAATTTACTAGCATTATGGTGCCTTAAATGCGAAATTGGGATAAAATTATAATTATTATAACGAAGACCTAAATTAGAAAAAGGTTAATTCAAAAGGTTATATTTAAATGTTGAAAATACCTAAATTTCCTCCATTGAACATCCATTTAACAAACGCATACGCAGGACACTAAGTGAATAAATTCAACTATAAAGTACTACATTGATAATTAATGCTTAATAACACTAATTTTGGAAATTACCTAATTCGAAAAGACTATTTTAAGATTATCCAAAGAAATTTATAATTTATAATAAGTTCGAGACTCAGGGACAGAGGGAGTATATAATTTTAAGGTTGGTAATTTAGGTTTTTTAAATTAATGTGAGGAAAAAGAATCATTGGATCAGTAATACTATTTTTATTAATATATTTTTGAATTTATACAGGGAGAAAAATTATAAATTTGTAGAAATACATCGAACCTAGATCATTTATATTGACCTTCAAATAATATGCCAAATAAAAATCAAGATCCACATTGTAGAATCAAAAAAAATTCCGTCCGAACCCGTGCATGGCACATGTAGAAATACTAGTATATTGTTAAACAGTGGGGTTCTAGTGACACCGGAGTACGGTGATACTCCGGTGTCACTATCATTTTGGGGCACTTCCGGTGCTCTGTTCGTAAAATTGACGATTCCTACCTCCCTAACCCACCCCTAAACCCCCCACCCTACCCCTGCCCCTACACTCCCACCCCAAACCCGCTGTAAGCATCCCACAAAATGTGTGGCTATTATGCATATTATTGCATAATAGCCACACATTTTATGGGGGGCTTACAGCAGGGTTAGGGTGGGGTGCATGGGGGGACAGGGTGGGGGTAGGGTAGGGGTTTAGGGGGTGGGTTAGGGGGGTAGGAACCGTCAATTTTACGAACGGAGCACGAGAAGTGCCTCAAAATGACAGTGGCACCGCTAGTGTCACAAAAAGCCAGTGTCACTAGAACCCCACCGATTGTTAAAATGCTTTTTTTGCTTCAAAATATTCAAAATGTTCAAAATGGAATTAGGACAAATTTAATCTTAATAATCAAATTTAACCTACAAATGTGAACTAAAATGCACAAAAATAAGAGATTATGTACAATTCTGGACGTAACAAATATTTCCGCACTTATGCTTTGTTTGGAAGGAGAGAAAATGGAGAAAAAGAAAATAGAGGAAGAGAAAACACAAATCACAATATAAATTCTCTTGTTTGGAAAGAAAAGAAAATGGGAGGAAGAAAGAAAGTGAGAGTGACTTTTTCCTTCAAAATTTTCTCCCTAGAACCGAAGAGAAAAGTGCATAAGGAGAGGAGAAGATTTTCCACCTTATTTTCTCTTTATTTTTTATCCATCCAAACACCAATTATTTACCTTCTAATTTCTCCTCATTTTATTTCCTTTTATTTGATTTTCTCATCCAAACATATCCTTAAATCTTGAAACGTCCCCGCTTCAACCAATTTATGACAAGCTTTCTATGAAAAACCATGTTTTTCATACTCTTCTGCACTTAATCGCCAGGTGAGCAACCCATTGTTAAAAATAGTGAAGTAGTTAACTTCCACTTTGACTTCTTTTTAGTTTAAAATATATAGTAAGGTTTTTAGAACTCGTCAACTTAAAAGAATGAAAACTCACTTGACACTCAACTTCTCAATGTTTGTAGCACAAATTTGTTATTTAAGAAAATATTTTCCAAGATAATCAATTCAGAATGAACCAATGGAAATATCATAAGTTCTTTTAAAAATTAGAAAATAATCCTTATTCCACATTTCCTTGGCCAGGAATAAACACTTTTAAGAAATCTGCTTTATATATAAATTTGAGAGTTGAATACATAAGAGCTTGACATGTGGCACAATATGGGATATACATGTTGAATAATATGAGCATATTATGTGGCAATTGATTTATGAGTTAGACTCCATTTAATAATAGTTGAAAATGGGATTAAACTTTTATTTTTAATCAAAAAATAAAATTACTAAATATAAAAATTCAATAAATCCTATATATTAAATTATTAAAAATTAAATTATTCAATAAATCCTTTATATAAAAAGATGAAACTTTAATCCTTAAAAAGATGAAATGTGCATTACATCTTTTACGATAATATATGAGACTCATGTCTCCAAAAAGTTGACATGTGTCATCTTACATGACAATTTTTAAATGACATGGCGCATGAATAAATTGCATGGCATGCTTTAAATTCTCACTAATCATTTGTGGAAATTTATTTATGATAACCTTTAAAATATGATGAGCTTAAAAAATATATTTTAGATTAAAATTATAAACTCTTGAATTAATTGAAAATTATGTAAATGAAATAAATGTAATTTTTCAACAAAAATTTAATAAATTAATCATAAAAAGAAATTATTTATTATTAGCTCGGGTGTTTTTTCATATAAACGAAAATAATATTAAAAGTCTTTTGAGTAAAATATAATTTTTTAAAAAATTATAATTTATTCTTTTGTTTGAAAATTTATTGAGCTAAAATATACTTTGGTGTAACTCATTTATACCACTAGTTAAAGATGAGAAACGTATTGAAGAAATTTAGTGCATAATGGGTTTATGTAAATTAGATAATTTTTAATATGAAAACTTTGTGGTTTAATGTGTTCAATAACTTTTTTAATAATTAAAATTTCTTAAGTATATAATAGAGAGTAAAAAAATCAATCAAGATTTATATTTTGATTGAGATATTATATATATTCACATCACGGTATTGATAGTCTTTAAAAGTATTTATTTTTGATATAAACAGTGTTTATGAATGATAAAACATTTGTTTTTAAATGAAAGTATTTTCATAAAGGAAATATCTTTATCTTTATATACTAAGTTTGAGAGTTGAACTCTTAGAATAGCGACAAGTAGTGAATCTAAATTTCCTACACTGAACATCCATTTAACAAACATACACAGAAAAATTACTCTACATTTAAATATTGAAAATACCTAAATTTCCTACACTGAACATCCATTTAACAAACATACACAGAAAAATACTAAGTAATAAATCTAACTATAAATACTATATAGATAATAAATGCTTAATAACATTGATTTTGGAAAATACCCTATTCGAAAAGACTATTTTGAGATTAGTCAAAGAAATTTGTAATTTATAATTAGGTGACTAAAAGACTTAAGACTATATTTTTTAAGAGAATTACTTGTGTCATGATTTTGCACTATATTTTAAGACAAATGGATAATACGTATACTATGAGATTAAACCAAACGCCAAACCTCTATTAGCTTGTTTAGCATCACCGAGATATATTCCTACGAGCTTAGAAATATTTGTGTAAAGGTAATGATATATTTTAATGATTTACTTATGCCTTTTCACTTAAAAACTATTTCTAAAATGATAAATATATTTTTAGTTAGGGTTATTTTGAAAATGGAACACACAAAACGAGTTTTGGAAAATTTACAGAGGTCTAACGGTACCTGGCTACCGTGTGCCACTCCACATTCACATTAGTAGAACACAAAAATCCATTAGCATTAGAGGTTGAAAAATTACCTGAATTTGAAAGATGACTCCACCTGCAATCTCTTTCAGATTGTTCTCTCCCAAAGTTGTTCCACAGCTCACAAGGTCTACAATTGCATCGACTATCCCCATCTATATTAGGAAGAAATGAGGAAATGATAACAGCAACAACAACCTAGCCAGTGTTGTCCCATACATTAGGGAACCATGATAGGTTAAAAAAAACTTTTACATACTCAAAAGAAATTGAAAGTACGATTGTATTTGAAGATCACCAAAAGAAATTCTGGAAAAGAACAAATGTGATAAAATTTCAAAAAGCAAACCATAACATCTAAAATAGAACGACATATTTCTTTTATGCAACAAATATAGGAAAAACAAACATGGCTCTCAGGCGAGTCTTAACATCAAGTGCAGTAATCGATTTGTGAAAAAGAGAAGAAGTATTTCATTTATATACGTAGTACAATACAAACAGTCAATCTTAATGAGACAGGACTTAAGAAAACTCACAGTCAATCTCAATAAGATGTCAATCTCAATAAGATGGGACTTGAGAAAACTGAATCTGTTTAAAATAGGTAAATTTGGTCTTACTGCTGGAGTAGCCTTCAATGCTCCATCTGGAGTTGAAAAGGTAACATGATTTAGTCCTTTTTCATTCATAAACTTGGGCCCCATCTGTGAAAGAAATGAAGGATGTTAAGGGAAAAATATCATCAAACTTAAACATAATAATTGTGACCACAATAATATATACTCTGTATGTGGGAAAAAGAAGATGAATATGTCACACTGCAGTACACCATGCATATGTGAAACCCGTAGCTACTCTCAAGGGTCTCCCAGGTGTCCAATGTGGCATTTCTGCTAGATCCTTCAATGAGTTCACATTCTCGAATATTCCATACTTTGGTATATGCAGATACGCACATGCATTTCCAGTCGCACGTCATTATTATTGGAAGAATACTAATGGTGATAGGAATGCACATAACATGACACAATTTGAATGTTTTGCTATAAAGAGCTCATTGTTACTCCCAATTTGAGATGATCGACAGTTTCCATATTCTAGAGGATCATGTTCTTCTCTTTCTTCTATGTAAATTTTAACCACTCACATTTTACTGTTTATTATTTTCCTAAAACTCCATAAGGTCAAACCATCCAAGCTAAATCGAGACAGATAGAGTACTATATAACTATGTGCAGAAGATTAAATAAATATATAGGAATTCATGAAGGTTGCATCATGTGAAAAATACTACTAAATCTTACCTTAGATGAATTATTTCATAATTGGAACTCATGGCCTAATAGGCATTGGGTTAGCTATTTTTGGACACACCAAGGCCAACATTAAGCAAGCACTGGACACTATCTTGGCCAAACATTTGAAGTGCTTCTAAAGGAGCACCATGATGTTCAACCAACCTGCAAGAGTAAAACAAATGTATTCTAAATACCTCATATAAAATTAGGCAAATTGACTGAGACAACACGCTAGACGAATAAAGAAAATGACGATAATCAAGAAATTTATTTCTAGAACCAAATATTTCACGATTCGCTTACCATAAAGCGCAGTAGCCAATTCTATTGATGTTTTATTATTGAACCCCAGCTCTAATCGAACAACACCATTTTGCACCCAAAACTTGTCCAAAACATTATTAACAGTTTTAGCAGAAATTTGCCAAACAGAAAACAAAATCTCAAGCATTTCTAAAAAAGTTTTCCCAAAACATCTTCGATATTTTCAGAAAGATAAGTTTAGTCTCAAAAAATGGTGTTGCTATTTAGTGTTTTTTTATGCATGCCTCTCTAAACAAAATGATCATAAAGGATGCATAGTTGGAAAAAGAGTCTTTAATGAATCAAGAGCAAATGCATGCGTATGACAATGTTTTTCCTAATAAGTATACAACATAATATAAATAGCATTCAAGAGATAACTGTTACCTCCTACTTGTTCTTTGGATGGTTGAGATACAGGTTGCATCAGTTGAATTTAGGATCATGAGGTGCAAACTCTATACGCTAAAGTAGGAACTTTATTCTGTATAAATATAGTTTGTAAGGCATCACCTAGGCAATAAGGAGCTGTCCCATGGACGTCTAGTCTACTCGCCTCGCCCAGAAAACCTTATGTCGTTTAGGTGCTCGCTTAGGTATCGCATTACTTCGCCTTACTCCAGCCTTGACGCCAGGGCCCCTTTAAAATTTTGAAAAGCCCTTTTTTGTGCACAACCATCACCTTTTGTATTTAGTGCTTGATGTGGATTTGTTTGTATACCCATACTTTCAAATACTTTTGTGAGTCCATAACTCAAAACATATCACAACGTGCACGCAGTGAAATTTAAATTTCACTTACCTCCATTGATCAAAATGAGTCTGCAAAGTACCTCCATTTCTATTAAGAGTGTATTCCTTTCACATGTGGTCATTTAGAAGTGAGACCAGAAGTCTTTAGCTTTAGGACAAATCTAGAAGAAATGTTCAATCATATCTGCATTCTTGCACCAACATCATTTGGGACAAGTTTGAATGTGGAATCTCTGTGCTGCAAAATAGAAGAAAACTGTTTATGAGACCATTCAGACCATGAACATAAGGAAAAATACACCTCTAATTGTAAAATAAGAAACAACCCAAGGTAGAAAGTGATAGTGATATCTTCCTTCTTTCCACTCTCCTTGCAAACAAAGTGATAGAGACAATAGCATTTGCATCTATGAATGGCACAAACTTATATACGTATAAATATTGGATCTACAAAATCTATAAATTTAAAACAATCAACAAACTAACAATCAGACAACATATGAACAAACCTGTACAAAAATCCTAATAACATGTTGAAAAATAATTTCTCAAACTTGAAAGGCATGCTATAATCAAATGGAATGGAGAAATTAGAAGAAGTTATACCCCTTTGGAAGGTTTAGTGTGCCTCAATTTGGAATGCTGTAATGTAACGAAAAACCAGCTGGAGATGAGAAATGCATGGAGAACCAATAAGATAACCATACTTGAGATTTTGGAGTGTTATCTTTATTACAAGTATTATATTTGAAACTTTATCTTTAATTAAGAACGCATCCTTTTATTTGTTTGAAAATAGTTCACAATTGATTTAATCAAAGAAATTAAATGATTTAGTCTAATGAAGAGATATAAGTTTATTCACAATGAACTGGGAAAGAAGTTTTGGCAACATTCAATTAAGACACATATTGAAAAGTCTTAGTGACCAAATTGAAAGATTAATACACAAATTGAAAATATAATGGTAATTATAAGACTAAAGAAATTGTAACTATTAATATGTATTAATTAAATAATACACAAATTAAAAAAATTATGAATAATATCCTTAGTGACCTGATGCTGCTGCACTGAGTCGCTGACCAAGGAGGGACACTCGGAAGTTGCTACTCTAGGAAGGAGAGATGCTATAAACCTGCGACTTCGGAGAGTGGAGTAGAGTCGAAACTAGGAAGCTCAACCGATGGTTGATTGGAAGAGAGGATAGGGGAAGAAGACGGAAGAGGGGAAGGGAATACGATCGATTAAGGTAATGGATAAACTGACTTAAGGCAACGGATCAAATCATTAAATTACAAACGGGCTTAGGCCCAGTTTCATTAATCCATTCAATTATTAAGGCTCAACAGCGAAAGAAAGTTGCACAGATCTGTATGGCGATAATTGCACTCGCCAAACGCCATAAGACGCAGCGAGAATGGCGAACGCCTTTCATCGCCTCAAGGACATCGCCATGCACAGCCTAATCTAGGCGTTACAAGGCGAGTATGGCGCTCGCCATTCATAACTATGTGCCACACATGATTTTCATTTCTTAAAGCGTGTTGGTGGGCTCTTGTAGTTTAATTAATAAAAAATAAAATTTCATATTGTCTCTCTAGATTTAAAACAATATAATCTTTAATTTTTGGAAAAGGATCAAGTTCTATCTCAAATGAAATTTGTCCTTCAGAATTGTTTGAAAAAAAACTTCTCTTTAGTTGGACCTTAAAAACAGAATTTGAAGTCAATGACCTCACAGCCTTTAATCCTCATATTGTGTTAAGCTCAATAGCCAAAAAATCTTTAAACATTGCATTTTCTAAAAGTGCAGCTTTATCAAAAGCAAATAAAGTGAAACTGTGTCCCTTTTTATCATTAGGAAAAGGGTTTAAATCTGCATCAAAAAATGTTGCTTCTTTAATTCTTGTTGAAATAATTTTGAATTCAATAGAGAGAACAAAATTTTGTGTTACAGCAGATTCTTCAAAGATGCCAAACTTAGTCCTTTTGAAATAAAAATCATTTGAAAATGTCTTAACAATAAACACGTGTTCAAGGTCAGTTTGCAGCCTTGATTTCCTCCAAACCAAAGATTTATTAGTGGACTCATCATTTAGAAACATAAAAATACCATTCATACAATCCTTAAGACCAAACATTTCCTTTCCAAAAATGAAGCTCTTTACACTATGTTTGGTTCAAGGAATTTGAAAGAGAAAAGAAAAGAAAATGAAATGGAAAACAGTTTTTCATTTTTTGTTAGAGAGGAAAAGTAAAAGAAAAAGAAAATGAGAAGACAAATGTACTAACCGGAGGGAAAACCAAAATCCTCCCATTTTGGTGAGGAAAATGAGAGAAAATCATTTTCTTTTCTTTTCCTTCCAAAATCCTTGAACCAAAGATAGTGTTAAGGAATAAGGAATAGAAATCATCTCAGGATTCAAAGAAACTGGGGTGTGCTGTATGGAATAAGAATTAATTTGTTCTCCCCCACACTTAGTTAAAACCCAGGTTGTTCAATCTGGTGCTCCTTCGTTACTGTATTTATTCTTGGCATATTGAGCTTGTGGGATTTCTTCAAAAACTAACTGCTCATCTTTTTCAGCATGTTTAGAAAACACAATAAAATCATTTTCTCTAAAAAGTTTATCAAGTCCCAAGCAACATTCTTCTCCAAGCTATTTTATCAATTCTCCCTTAGCCCTAGATCCTTCAAACTTATCACACCCATTCCTTTTTAAAATATTTATTTCTCCAATATTATGGAAGTTCTTTTCAATGTTTCCGAAGAGTTTCAACAAGATGTTTTGCTCAACAGATTTCTCAAAGGCCATTTTTTTTTCAATACTAGATTCACCTAGCGGCTTGCCTATAATATCTATATTTCCAAGAAGATGAGCCATACTAAACCCATTTGAAACAGCTCCCTGGTCATGAAGTATATCTTCCTCGTTTTCAATTTTCACTAGGGTATTCAATTCACCAGTACAAATCTTGTTTGTCTCTTTTTGGTCTATTTTATTTTAAATACTCGGTGATCTCTCCTCTTCAAAACCAAAAATTTTGAAAGCACTTTTGGACTCATCAATTTCAGCTTCAATGTCAACTTCAGTTTCAGGTTTCGAACTGATATTTTCCACTTCATTAGAAAAATTTTGAATTTGACACTGTTTTTAAAAATGACCTTGAATGTTATTTGTGACCGTTTCAAAAGCACTTAATCTATCTTCAAGTTCATCGGAGAAATATTAGAAATCTGATTCTTTTTATTGTTTAAATTAGTCTCATCATCTTGGAATCATATTCCCAATCAAACTCTGATTGCTTCTCAAAATCTAGTCCATTACCTTCCGTTTGATTTGGAAGGTCTGTTTCAACCATTTGAAACTCTTCATTTAATTTTAATTCATAAAATCCTTCTCTCTTTTTATCTTCTGTTTTAAAATATTCAGAAGTCTTAGTATTAAGAGTTAAAGGAGTTACTTGGCCATTTCGTTTGCAAAATACTGGACTTACTATGGGCCCATACATTGATTTATATGAACAGGGCATGCCTAAGTAAGTTGGGAATTGAGTAGCTAACAGTTTATGGACTGTGTAGTAAGATAGTTTTCTGCCCTATTAAACTGTTTAGTAACACTCTTAGTCCGTACCTGCAACCCTGATAAGGAATTTCGGCTCAGTACGCGCTCAGCTACTTCCTCTGCAGAGTTTCCCCGAAGCACGCAAATGAGCCTCCAGCCTTTCAAGCATTTCATGTGTTATATCTAGCACATCCTTATGTGTCAATGATTTCCTGCTAGCAACAAGGACCGCCTGTGCAGAAATATTAATCATAATATTTTACGTCCATCAGGTGTTGTACTAATATGTCATAATGAGGATATATGACTATGCAAATTTTGGAACTCTACATCCCTTGAAAATGTGCTCCCCGTCAATATGAGCCGAAAACATGTTTTAAAATGATACTATTAATATTTTATAACATAATACAGTGCAATGTCCCTTTGACCGCATAAACAAAATGACACTATTAATATTTTATGACGACTGTTCTAGTATTTTATAATGAGGGCAATAATCTTTGGAAACTAATGAGGTCAAAGGGCCATTGCACTATATAATGTATTATGTATCATTAAAGGGTTCTGCAAATGATAGTCAGGAACATTTGTTACCCAAACGTGATGGCCTATGAATATCTATTTCGAACATTCACACACATGAAATATTATCAATAGTGTATACATATTTTTCAAAACCTTTTCTTTCCCTAGTAAATTTAGTCTCAATCAATAACTTTTTGAGTAATAAACACTGCCCATTGACATTAGTAGAACACAAAAACCCATTAGCATTAGAGGCTGAAAAATTACCTGAATTTGCAAGATGACTCCCTCTTTTTCAGATCGTTCTCTCAAAAGTTGTTCCACTGCTCACAAGGTCTACAATTGCATCGACTATCCCCATCTATATTAGGAAGAAATGAGGAAATGATAACAGCAACAACAACCTACCCAGTGTTGTCCCATACATTAGGGAACCATGATAGGTTAAAAAAAACTTTTACATACTCAAAAGAAATTGAAAGTGCGATTGTATTTGAAGATCACCAAAAGAAATGCTGGAAAAGAACAAATGTGATAAAATTTCAAAGAGCAAACCATAACATCTAAAATAGAATGACATATTTCTTTTATGCAACAAATATAGGAAAAACAAACATGGCTCTCAGGCGAGTCTTAACATCAAGTGCAGTAATCGATTT